GCTGGCCCAGGCTGGGGGCGGATTGTGGCTTTGAGACCCTGTTTGAGACCCTGTTTGCCTTTCTGTTTCTCTGTCTCCCTTTCTCTCTTGCTCACGCATAAAAGAAGTAAATACACTTAAAAAAATCTGTAAATCAATTACTAAAAAAAAAAAAAAATAGAAACATCTAACATTATCCGAGCAAGGTATCCTTACTCAGTCTTCTAGATCTTTCCATCATACGTGCCCTCTGATGCAGGCGGGCTAGGAACAATATGGGCTCAAAAGCAGAAATGGGATCTGAGGGAGGTGTAAGTGACCGGCAAGGCCACCATGCAAGTGCCAGGCATAACCAAGCCTCAGCTGTGTCCTCTGACTCTTTTGTCTGAGGTGGCAATGGTTCTTCTTCAGGCAGGTCATTAAATATGAAAATCATGTGGCTCCCCCTTTTTCAAATATCCTTCCTTTTTTGGTCCATGGAACCTATTCATTTTTAAGGTCCATTTAAAATCTTTTATATTCCGGAAATTCTTCCAACACCAGTGCGTGGCGTGTGTGTGTGTGTGTGTGTGTGTGTGTGAGAGAGAGACAGAGAGAGAGAGGGGGGGGGGGGGAGGGGGAGGGGGAGCTATTGCCACATGATAAATGGTCCTGGAACAGAAATACAGAAGGCACAGGTCTGAGAGAGCAGAGTACAGCACTTGGTCTAACGGGCCGATGAGGTGAAGATACAGAGAGGTAGCGCTTGCGTACTCTCAGGGGATCTTAGGGACATGGGGGCAATGAGGGGGTTTCCATTCCTTACTTCTGCTAAGTCACTCTGGGAGGCACGGAAGGTCTACACTTACCAGTTCTGTGTCACTGTATAACCACTCACCTGCAGAGCCCCCATTTCCTCCTTAGAGACTTGTAAATATTTAGCCTCAGCTGCACAAAGTCTTGTGCCTGGCACTTGGTAGTGGCGGACCAAATACAAGTTCTCTTATCCTTTGTGGATTCTTTCATCTAAGTACTATTTGTTCATCAATTTAGTGTTAGCATTTTGAACCACTAATGTTAATTATTGTACAAATGTGACCTGACATTTCTGAATGCTAAATGAGTTTTTTAAATATTTTTTATTCACTATTTATTTATTTATTTATTTATTTATTTATTTATTTATTTTAGTTTTACTTCTAAAGAAAGAGAGACTCTGATAGGCATAATCCTCCCCCTGGACATCCAGCCAGCTGGGACCATGAGCATGCCTGCAGGTGTGCCCAGAATGTTCAGGTCAGCATAGGAACTGAACCCTGGCCCTTCCCATATGGCTCCGGAATAGTGCAGCAGCACCCCTACCATCTATGAGACGATGGCTGGGCCCTAGACTTGACTTTGGTGACAGAAACAACAGGAGCTAGACAGTGGCACTGTAGTAAAAACCAGCCTGGGCAAGGCTGAATCATATGGAGAAGGTCTGGGTTTGTGTCTAGAGACTTCCCTGAACAAGCCAGTCATGCATATGCCTGCGATCCAGGGCTGGCCCAGGCTGGGGGCGGATTGTGGCTTTGAGACCCTGTTTGAGACCCTGTTTGCCTTTCTGTTTCTCTGTCTCCCTTTCTCTCTTGCTCACGCATAAAAGAAGTAAATACACTTAAAAAAATCTGTAAATCAATTACTAAAAAAAAAAAAAAATAGAAACATCTAACATTATCCGAGCAAGGTATCCTTACTCAGTCTTCTAGATCTTTCCATCATACGTGCCCTCTGATGCAGGCGGGCTAGGAACAATATGGGCTCAAAAGCAGAAATGGGATCTGAGGGAGGTGTAAGTGACCGGCAAGGCCACCATGCAAGTGCCAGGCATAACCAAGCCTCAGCTGTGTCCTCTGACTCTTTTGTCTGAGGTGGCAATGGTTCTTCTTCAGGCAGGTCATTAAATATGAAAATCATGTGGCTCCCCCTTTTTCAAATATCCTTCCTTTTTTGGTCCATGGAACCTATTCATTTTTAAGGTCCATTTAAAATCTTTTATATTCCGGAAATTCTTCCAACACCAGTGCGTGGCGTGTGTGTGTGTGTGTGTGTGTGTGTGTGAGAGAGAGACAGAGAGAGAGAGGGGGGGGGAGAGAGAGAGAGAGAGAGAGACTGTAGTGCCCAGCATTTTTTAGGACCCCCTCAGGAGACTCTGGCAGTGCCTATCCAACTCCTTAGTATGGGAAGCAAGTATGAGTAACATGCAGTGACTGTGTTCTTAGCACGGGGGAGCAAAAGACCACGTGTCTCTTCATAGAAGATGGACTTCGCAGACACAGTAGGAGAACGGAAAGGGTGTGTGAGGTTTGTGGGTGCCCTGGGAGAAGGCCCCTGTTGTCTTGAAATTATTTACGCTTCCCTTTATAATGCCTCAGGAAAGCAGAAAGAAAAGCCTATTTCCTGAGTGAGATAAGAATGTTTTTGATTGAGTGTCACTACTGAACTGGCCCCAAGCGGCAGGAGAACTGTGCTTGGATGTCACTGTGGACCCATCCTATTTCAGTCCTGATGAAAGTGATAGAAGGTCTCAGCCCCTCCCCCAACCCCATCTGCTCCCAAGCGGTTGCTGGTTCATCCTGTGGAGCTTGTTGGTAGCAGGCATTCCATCTACTATTTGACCCTCGGAGGTGTGCTGCGGTTGGGTCCCCGGCCACTTACAGCAGGAAGCCCGAGGGCCATGTCCAGGTGTTCCTTATCACCAATTCTGTAGGAATTAAAGGGATATTACAGCCCCTTATGCCTGACTTTTCTGTCTCCTTGTGATGAGGTCTGGCTCCTAAGGGAAGGTTTCTTGAGTTGGGAAGCTCCTGAACAAACCTCAAAGGAGCCCTCATGAGTCAGAAGATCTGCATGCCAGTTGTGTCCCAGCAAAGTGCTCTACACACCCTGTACCGGTGGCTGGAGCACTCACAGTGACACACTGAGCGGCCTGGACCTGCCCTGTGAGCCTTCTGTCAGGGAAGGCAGAGATGGACCAGCCTGGAGTGAGCAGAGAATCAGCCATCCAAATGTAACTGGCTCTGGAGTAGAGGGGCTAAGAGCCTGTGTTTGCTGGGGGGCCCAGTTATTCTGGGGGTGAGGTTGGGAGAGGCCCCATAGGGAAGACTTACACCATAAAGGGGCTGATTTTCCCCAGAGCTTATGGGAACAAACTGCCTATGCCAAGTTTTAAGGTAGACTCTTATCAGCCTCCACAATGGATTAAAATCACAACACAGGGAGAGCGTGAGTCAGATCACTGAGGCACATACTCTCTCTGACAGATGAGGAAAGTGAGGCTCAAACAGGGGCCTCAGAAGGCTGGGTCCTCCTGTTGCTCAGGCCAGCAGCATTAGGCCACTGGATAGGGAGGTCTATGGGTCTGGGGGCATGATCGGGAGTCAGTGGCCATGGCTGAGCCAGGGCCGAGGTGAGCCCAGAGCTCTGGGGGAGCTCTGGGGTGTGTCAGCGCTGCTTGAATATCATTTCTGGAGCTGGCCACCCCACTGCTGGAATCTTAGGGGGCTCAGAGAGAGGGTGTGGCCAAAAGCCTTACAACATCACTGCAGGAACAGCACCCTCTGATGGATTCAGATGGGGATGTGCAGGAGGCTAAGGTGAGGCCCTTTGCAAAAGGACCTTGAAATGAAATAACTTCACAGGACTTGTAAGTAATTTATAGGCAGTGAAAGTGAGTCGGAGTGGTCACCAACAAGTAGATTAATGACTATTGTTGAATATCTTAGGTTTAGCTTTCTGGAAAGTAGTGTTCTTCTTTGTAAAAAAAAGTGACAGTTGGCCTTTTCTGTAAACACTGCTGCCTCCAAGCTTTCCAGCCGAAGCTGGAATTGCTTGGTAACTGTGAGCCTGAAAATGAATGGAGGGCTCTGCAGTTTATCATAGAACTTCCAGAAGCAGCTGTTTGTTTTTCTCTTTTGGTCATGACATTCCACAACTAAGGGATTAGTGGACCTTTAATGTCCTCAGTTTTCCTAACATAATGAGAGGAATTGGCCTCAGACTCTGAAAGAGGCCCCAGAATGAGTGAGAAAGAAGATTTTGTTTTAAAATCTTGATGAGGCTTTACAAAAAGAAAGATGGATGACCAGGGCTCATGCGCCAGTAGACTGGACACTCTGAGCGTGTGTCAGCATGAAAAGTGAGTCTGAAGTGGGGACCCTGGGCAAGCTGAAGAGAGACCGCTCATTCTTTCTGAGAACTGCATTGCCCTAAAAAGGCTTCGATCAACCATTCAACCCATCAGACTCCGTGTCCTACTGGCATTGTTTCTCTCGCATGCCAGCTTTTAATGGAATCTAATTGCTTTGAAGAGGGAGCTTGGGTGACATTGTCACTATCATACCATCCAGGTGACCAAATGGGGTGAAGACAGAGGACGTCAGTGGAGAATACAGATGACGGGGGTCTTTGTGTGCTCTGACTGCAAGTGCGATCTGACTGGAGAGGGTGGATGTTCCTGTGACTTGGGGCCTTCAGGGGCAATTTTTCAGACAAAGTTGTACTTGAGTGTGATCTTGAAGATTGTGGTAATTCCCCCTAGACTACTTCCTGTGAAAAGTGTCACTTTACGAGGACCCCTCAGGGCTACTTGTGTCCCTAATTCCAGCCCCTCTGCCCCTGGAGAATAACAGCACCTCCAGTAATTGCTGTGACCAGTGCCAGTGGGAGAATATCTTGTGTTGCCCACCAGAGTGGCCTCAAACCTACCAAGTCAGATCAAGAGATGAAGAAGACGCTGCTAAGCCTGATTCCGAATTTTTCTGTAGCATTGGTTTAGGTGACTTGCTATGAGGCCAGAGCTCTCCACTGTAAAAACTTTGCCAACTTTCTGATAAGTCTGGGAGTGTTGCTAGCAATCCTGGGGAAATTAAAAAAAAAAATTTATTCTATTTCTTTTATACACTCAATCACATTACTTAGCTTACAAAGTGAATATTCCAACATGTGTACATTTCTCACCAGTCCAGTTCACCATACTAGAAAGTTATCTTCAATAGATAATAAAAAATATGGAATGCTTCACAAATTTGCATGTCATCCTCGCTCAGGGCCATGCTAATTTCTCTGTATCGTTCAGATTTTAGTATATGTGCTGCCAAAGTGAGGACGAATTATTTTTCTTACTGATATTGACTAAAAATTAATGAACAAGTTTTCTAAGTCTTTTATCATGTCCCTATCCTATCACTTAGGATTTTACAGTTACATACTGTACTCACTCAAACTTCGTGGGAGACTTTGCTTTCTTTGGAACCTCAAACATGGTGGAGAAAAGCAAAGAGCTAGGAAACTCTTCCTCCAGCTCTGACTATTGTCTCAAGAAAACAAAGCTAACCAAGCAAACGGGACTGTGCTATGTGCTCTGGCAGGAGAGAGCTGAGTTTGCTGGCATTTTGAGGGCTGCAGTTGCTTTAAGTAAAGAGGGAAAGAAGGGGAAGCATCCTGGAAGCAGGGGTGAGCAGCTTGGGGTCTCTAAGACCAGCCAGAAGGCTGCTGGCAGAACAGTTGCAGCAGGCCTTTAGCCCGTCCAGCAGCCCTGCAACAGACAAACACTTCTTCAGCACAGAAAGGAGGCCAAGTACGTGTGTGTGGAGCTTGACTACATGTGTAACTCCAAGGGGGTATGTTTGGCAGCTCCCTACCAGACATGGAGGATCACCCCCATCTCTCCTGCCAGGCACCATAGAGGAAGGGTAGAATGACCCAAAATTCTAAGAGGCTGGGTCTGGATGGTGTAGGTGCTGAGCCTGGCCACTGACCAGCACTTGGCAGCAGGACACACAATGGTGGGGTGGGTGGGGTTTGGAGCAATGCCTCAGCATCCTTCAGTGGCGGTTCCACAATATGGCTGCCCACTCTGTGACTTTCTCCCATTAGAAGTGGAGTCTTTGAGCGTTCACCTCCAATCTGGTAGGTTTGAACTCCTACCATTGCCAAGTTTGGCAGAACTGGTGCTGTGTTGCCCAGTTCACTAAGCATGTGTGCTGTCAGGATACTCCTTTTGGGGACAAAGATGCCCTTATGGATAAAGCCTCAGCTGTGTGGGCAGGCCACATGGACAGGCCACCTGCACTTGCTTCAGCAGATGGATCATCCCTATCCTTGCACTAGACGTGTCAATGGCCTTAGTAGAAGTGCATTCTCATTGTGCTGTTTGAGTTCCTGAGCCGCAGAATCTGAGGGTGTAGTAATTCTTTTCTTTATTTTTGATAGAGTGTGTGCATGTGCATGCATGAGAGAGAGAGAGAGAGAGAGAGAGAGAGAGAGAGAGAGAGAGAGAGAGAGAGAGAAAGAGAAAGATCTGCAGGATCTGGTCCTGCTGCAATCCCCTTTCTCCAGTCCCCAAGTCCATGAGATCCTAAGCACTGTGCATGTGCCCAGTGTGTTTCATGGCGACCTGACCAGGTTTCAAACTCGGTCACCGCGTGGGATCTGGCTTCTCTGGAGCAGCACATTACCACTGCACCCCAGAGCCAGCCCCGAGTGCATAATAAAATAGTTGTTTCATGCCGCTGAGAGTGGGGGCATTTACTGTGTAGCAACAGAAAACCTGAACACGACCCAGACATTCTGATTTCTCCATGCCTTCACCAGTGCCTGCTTGCTAATGACAAGCTAGGCTGTAGCCACCCTTTGTCAAAGGTGATGAAGAAAACGGAGAATGGTAAGTTAGTATCTTTAGAAAAACACAAGAAACCATAGATAAAATGCATAGCAAATCTTGTGAGATTATGACATTAAACTTTTAATTAAAACTTAAATAACAATTTCTAATTTTTATTTAATTAACTTCTGATTAATACTAGGGAAAAAATGCCTACAAAAACCAAGCTAATTGTAGCCCTCTCTCTGCTAGAGGACGTCTACAGGGTTTTGAAGGAAACAAATTCTGCTTTTGGCTAAGTTATGTGAATGTGAATGCAAGAAATATTATTCTCTTGTGTGCAGAAGCCTGGAAAGTTTTCCGTCTACAACTCCTCCCTGATGCCGGCAAACTAACTGATGCACAAATCACGGGAACCATCCGTGAGAAGCTGTGGTAAAAGCTCAGTGATGTAAGGGAGTAACTGGGGTCTCCCCAGAGCCTCTCCTCCTGTCCCCTCTCCTCAGTCTGCTAATTTAACTCCTCAACGTCGCTCATCCCCACCTCTTCCACCTTCATTCCCACGCCATTCCAAGCTGCAACTCACTAGATTTCTGAGACTCCTCCTGTTCGGTCTCCATTGCCTTCTCGTTTACTCCTGTAGCTGGGAACAGGAAGATAATGTTGATGTGTGACCACATCACTCTGCAGCTTGGACAGCCTCCATGGTCCCCTTGCTGGCTTTGGAAGCTGCCCCAGTTTGTGTTTATCCCCTGACTGGTTTTGGAGATTTTGCTGTCTGCCAGGCTCTCCCCTGACCTCTGCCCCTCCAAAGTGGTCATTTCCCCAGGGGAACCTCCCTGTCCATGTACGGCCTGTTCTCCCAGCAGCCCCTGAGCATGGGGAGGTGGCAGGACCTCAGGAATGCTCCTCATCCTAGCCTTAACATCCAGCCCTTGGCTGGATATGCAGTTCATTCGTATTTGCTGAAGGACTGAATGAAAGCTTTACTGCTGGGTTAAGTTGTCCCTATGCTTCCCAGAATTCCTTCCCTCTCTGGGCCTGTCTCTCATTGGTCCTGGAGTTCTCTGCATGTCATGGGCTCAGCACAGGGTGAGCATACACCTATGCCATTGGGCCAGCACAGCTTAGCACTGGTGGTCAGTTTGGGGGTTAGCATGTCCCATTCTGACCTCCAGGTGGAGGACCACCGTCTATCTGAAATTTTCTCTAAAATCCGTGGCAGGGTCAGATTCCTTCTGTGCTTCCAGGGAACTTTGTGCAAAGCCTCAGTGTAAGACTACTCATTGCATTGTATTTTTAAAAAAGAAATTTAAAAAGAATTATTTAATTAATCTTATCTATTATTATTATTATTTTAATTTGACCAGAGAGAGACAGAGAGAGAGAGGGAAAATAAGAATGCAAGTTGCCAGGTCTGGGACTCAAAGCATAGTCAGCCATGACGAAGGTCAGCACCTTACCACTACGCCATATGCTGGCCCTGCATTGCATTTGAATCTTAACTTATGCCTTGTTTCACTGCTCTCTGCTTTGACCATGGGTCTGCACAGATATCAGTGGCACCTGTAGGAGAGCATGGGGCAGGTGGCAGGGAAGGCAGCAGTGACTTCTCTGGAGAAATAGATGCTGGCTGAGGCCCAGGCCTGACCAGGGACAGCACAGAGTGGGGCTTTAATTTACCCCCTAAAGTCATCTCTGGTTCAGTCACTGCTGTTTCCTGTGTTCTCGATCGGCAGAACATTCTGCCCCAGGTTGGAGGCAGGTATTGATCTTTGGGTTCTCGAGACTTTGCGATAAATCTCACAGGCACTTACAGTGTGGTTGCTTATCTGCAGAGGGTTTGCTATTGGGAAGGGTAGTGGAGGAGAGGATCCCTGTGTCCTGCAAAGCAGTTACAGGTGTCGTCAAATGCTTAGGCAGAGGCAGCTTTGAGGTCCAGGATCATAGGGAGGAGGAATCTTCTACTTCTCACTGAAGGGGCTGGAGCCAGGAGAAGCTTCTGGGGGAAATGGCACATGCGTAGGACCTTGAAGGATATGTATGCCTTTATTGATTTATTTTTAAAATTTATTTTTTTAAGAAAGATTTTTGCTATAGGACACGTGCACTTGCTGGAGAAACAGAGAGACAAAGAGAGACAGAAAGCAAATAATTACTCCCCAAGGGGGGCTGACCCCACTGCAATCCCTTCTCTTCCATTCTCCTCTCAGGATTTTGGGCATGCACACACACATGCCTAGCATGAACTTTAAGCTGTCAGGTCTGAAATTTGAACCACAGTCAACTCTGTGGGGTCCAGCGACGTACCATTATGCCATCTGTTTCCCTGTGTGTGACTTTAATAGTCAGAAGGAGGGAGTGAAGAGAACAGTGACACCAGAGAGTGCCCTGTATATTGGGAGCAGAGGGTCATGTGGAGTGGCAGGTGATGACTCTGGGGCCTTTTGCGCTAGCCTGAGGAGATGGGACTCTGATGAGTGAAAATGGAGCTGCTGAAGATGGTCTACCTGATGGTGATTTAGTTGCTGCACTGAAGAGAGGAGACAGAAGATGAATTAATGAGTGGGGCTGGCCTGGGGCAAGACCACAGAGCTTGAGTCACTGGCAGGGGAGATGGGATACAGAGGCAGGCTGGCAGAGGGAAGGTTTCCGCTACCTCCAGGTGTGGGCGACTCTGGAGAATAAGGGGGATGTGCTGAGCCCATGCTGCAGTCTGAGCTCAGCTCCTCCCCTACTAAAACACAAATGGAATTTCGTTTATTTATTTATTTATTTATTTATTTATTTATTTATTATTATTTTGCCAAAGAGAGACAGAGAGAGAGAGAGAGAGAGAGAGAGAGAGAGAGAGAGAAAGAGAGAAATCACTCCTCCCCACAAGGATTTCTGAGACTCCTCCTGTTCGGTCTCCATTGCCTTCTCGTTTACTCCTGTAGCTGGGAACAGGAAGATAATGTTGATGGGGGACCACATCACTCTGCAGCTTGGACAGCCTCCATGGTCCCCTTGCTGGCTTTGGAAGCTGCCCCAGTTTGTGTTTATCCCCTGACTGGTTTTGGAGATTTTGCTGTCTGCCAGGCTCTCCCCTGACCTCTGCCCCTCCAAAGTGGTCATTTCCCCAGGGGAACCTCCCTGTCCATGTACGGCCTGTTCTCCCAGCAGCCCCTGAGCATGGGGAGGTGGCAGGACCTCAGGAATGCTCCTCATCCTAGCCTTAACATCCAGCCCTTGGCTGGATATGCAGTTCATTCGTATTTGCTGAAGGACTGAATGAAAGCTTTACTGCTGGGTTAAGTTGTCCCTATGCTTCCCAGAATTCCTTCCCTCTCTGGGCCTGTCTCTCATTGGTCCTGGAGTTCTCTGCATGTCATGGGCTCAGCACAGGGTGAGCATACACCTATGCCATTGGGCCAGCACAGCTTAGCACTGGTGGTCAGTTTGGGGGTTAGCATGTCCCATTCTGACCTCCAGGTGGAGGACCACCAAATTTTCTCTAAAATC